CTCTCTCTGTTTTGTTTTATCGTTTATCTTCTTTATCTTTCTATATGCTTATGTTATTTTTATCTTGTATCTTTCCTATGTTCTTTTATCTTTTTATCTTGCATCATTCTTAGTTTCTTATGTTATTGTTATCTTATATTTATCTTTGTCATATCCGATTTATCTTACTTTATCTTTTATTCTTCGTTCTTCTCTTTTGACTCTGATATCATGGATCGATTCATGTTAACCAACCCCAAAATCTTTTGGAGATAAGACCTGAATATTATTGTTTTTGTTCAACATACTTACCAAATAACTTAGAAGTTATTAAAACCATCCTAATATATGCTTCCAACTTTTGGCTTAAAAATACTTCAAATTGAGTTGAAGTTGGGATTGGCAAACACCTTGTTTAGCATATTCCAGAAAATAAGTTGAAAAGCACTTCTAAGAAGCGTTTTCAAATTGCAAATACTTTCCCTTTTATTCTCTATTTCCTCACATTCAAAAGTCAAAACCCCATGCAACTATGCAAGTAAATCACTCTGCTGCCATTCCACTCCACAAACCAATAATTAATGGGGTAATTAATTAGTTCTTAGTACCCTTTTCCCGACAAATCGGTTTCTTTTGAATATCATATTTGCCCGACACACTATTACTCCAACAGAAATTGTCCTAAACAGAAGTACAAATGTTTTGAAATTCCAAAATAAGACTATCATATATTTTATTCCTTGAATAGTAATAATCTGTCAAGTATGGAAAAAAATGACATGTTTAAAGTCTAGTAATGTTAAGTTTGGCATAAATTTACTCATATTCAGAAAATAAAAACATGATAATCTTATTTTGAAATTTCAAAACATTTTTACTCTTAAATTCATTTTTTTAGGACAATTCTTTTTTTTTTTTTTAAATGAACTAAACAATACAGTCAGGTAGAAATTTGTGGAATTGGACTCATCTTTGATTTGGTGAGTACCGAGGACGGCCTTAGCGGAGTTCTTTATCAACTTCCACGCGGCAACCACGTGTTGCTCTTGGTTTACGGTGGCCCCCACCGCAAACCTCTCCGTATACGAAGTATATATAGTATAAGGTGACGACTCCGGTACCCTTTTAAAAAATGGGATACCGTACCTATCATTCATTTGATTGGACCACATCACTTTATCACTTTTAATTTAGATTTAAATAATTCAACTGCAACATTCACATTGGTCCATGTGGACAAAGGTATGGTACCTTATGGGTACATAGAATTTACCATAGTATAAACCCCTCCAGCTCTCACATGAGATGCCCGCCCGCCCGGTTGAGTATATTGCGGGTTGGACTTACTCTTTATATTTCATCCGTTTTTTTAGTTGCAACGGTCAACATTTCACATTTGTTAACACACGTCTTTAACCGTAATTATATCTTAATTTTATTAGGAAAAAGTATTTAAAAATTTGAAACTTTGTAATGAGATGAATTGAACAATATCTTTTTGAAAAAATAATTTTCGTAAAATAATAGCGTAAAATTTAGTTAAAGTAGAGCCTATGAAAAGTGTAAAATTAAACCTGTTGCGATTAAAAAGAAATGGAGGAAAATATAGTTTAACCATATCAGGATTCTGGAATGACGACATTAGTATACAGAAAACTTATACGGAGTACAATGAAGAGTTGAAATTTAAATTAAACTTGATATGAAATTATGTAGAAAAAGGAAAATAAATCATCATTCTGCAATCAGACATTTAAATCGGGAAACATCGTGAATATACTTTTCAATTCATAAAAAATTAAGGAATCAGTTCTTTTTTTTTTTACTTGTTTCTGCCGATAACTTTTCACGCACACCTGCACATAAAAGGATTTGAATACTTTATTGGCAAAACTGCGGTACCCATTTAAAAAATTGATACATACCTAACATTAATTTGATTAGTCCAAATCATTATATACTTTTTAATTTAGATTTAAATAATTCAACTGCATCATTCTTATTGGTCTATTTGGACAAATGTATGGTACATTTGGGGTACCATAAAATTAACCTACTTTATTTTAATGAATGTGCGGTTTATTTATATTTTTAAATTCAAGAGTTAGAATTGCTAATAATCCGAGATCAGATATCTCGAAATTATTTAGAGGAAATAACCACAATTCTTTTCTAGAATCGACAAAACAATACAAGGTCAACCTTTTTGAGATAGCGGTAGAAATTAGTGGAATTCGCCCCAATCTTATGACTTGGTGAGTAAGGCTTCCGCGGTGTTCTGAATCAGCTTCCACGCAGCAACCACGTGGCGGTCTTGTGTTAGCGTGGCCCCCACCGCAAACCTCACCGTATAAACCCCTCCAACTACCGTATGAGTGACGTACGCCCGCCCGGTTGAGTTGATGGACTCCAGTAGCTTCATGTTCAAAATATTCGCATATCGCGGGTCGGACTCCTTATACGGGTTGAACCGGAAACACACCAGAGAAAAGGTCCGCGGCACAACCATCTCGAACCTCGGGTCGGATCTTACCAAGCCCTCGAACATCTTAGCCATCCGGACGTCGGAGCGGATGTGGCTCTGGAGGTTGGCCACGCCGTAGCTGCGCAAAACGAGCCATAATCGGAGCGACTTGAACCGCCGACCCGTACCCAGCTGCCAGTCCTTGTAGTCCACGACGGATCCCAGCTCGCTCCGTTTGTTTCTCAAGTACTCCGGGTTGGTACTCAAAGCCTTGACCAGCAAACCCGGGTCTTTGACCCACATGCAGCAGCAGTCCAGGTAAGTCAACAGCCACTTGTGTGGGCTCAGGCTCAGTGAGTCCGCCAGCTCGACGCCGTCAAGGTGGTGGCGGAATTCAGGACATATGCATGCGCTGCCGCCGTACGCGGCGTCCACGTGCACCCAAATGTTATGATCACGTGCCACATTGGCAAGCTCGCTGACCGGGTCGACCGCCGTCGTCGAAGTGGTCCCCACAGTTGCACACAGATAAAGCGGGACCAAGCCGGCTGCCACGTCAGACTCGACCGCCTTACGTAGGGCCGCCGGAGACAAGGCGAAGTTGTCGGCGCGTGAAGTTGGTATGATCCGAATGTTGCATGGGAAAATGCCGGCGAGCTTGCATGCCTTCGTATACGCCGTGTGAGTCTGATCGGAGCCGTAGACGACGAGCTTTCCGACGTTATGAACGCCGTCTCTCCGCAGTGCGCGATCTCGGGCGGCGATGAGAGTGCAGAGGATCGCCTCGCTGGTGGTCCCCTGAATGACGCCGCCGCCGGTGCCAGAGAACATGAAGGAGCTCGGGAGCTTGAGCATCTTCGCCATCCAGTCCATGACCACCATCTCCAACTCGGTCGCCGCTGGCGACGCGAGCCAGTTGAAGCCGACGGAGTTGAAGCAGGTGGCGAGCATTTCCCCGACGAAAGCCGCGGAGCTGACGGTCGCCGGGAAGAACGCAAAGAAGTTCGGGCTCAACCAGTGGGTCATCCCAGGAACTATGTCCTTTTGAATGTCCCTCAAAATGGTTTCGAACTGCTCCGGCAGATAGGGAGCCGCCGCCGGCTGACGGTTGAGGAGGTACCCGGGCTCAACCTGGCTGAGAACAGGGTAGGTCTCGACATTTTTGTAATAGTCAGCGATAAAGTCAACCATGCGATGAGCTTGAGTTCGGAACTCTTCCACATTAAGGGGATTGAATTCAGCGATGTTGTTTGTAATGCATGAAATCATGACATCGCTCTCATCAAGACTGCCCATTTTTTCTGCCCAAATTTAGTATGTAGCTAGTTTGATGATACTATACGATATGATAATAATAATAATAGGAAAACTAGGTGGATGCAAGAAATGTTATAAGCTTTGTCTATTTATAGGAAGGAAATGAGGAATTGAAGGAACAGTTGGTCATGACCTGAAGACCGGAGGATCAAGTGTAAAACGGATTATAAAAAAGGACAAAACGTGGGGGAGTCGAAAGGAGGAGGTGGTTGGGGATTTAAATGAAGCTCTCGCGGATGAGATTCAGATCAACCTTTTCGACCGATGACATCAAAATGCCAATATATTTACGTGCATTGTCTACACACATGCGAAATGTGTTTTTTATTTGTATGTAGATACAAGGATCGATAGATAAGTTAGTTTGATGTAATTAGTACGTAGTATTGGGTATTTTTCATGTCCAGACTGTATGACGGAATTTCCCGTCCGGGCGAGGCTGTTTCGGTCCTTCTCGGTGGAATGTTGTTTGGGTCCTTCTCGGTGGAATGCTTTGATAAGAAACTTTTTGAACATGTTTTTTTTTCAAATCTAGTTTATTCATACGAAGTATCAAATTTCAGTTAAAATTCAATCGGGAATGCAATGAACTGATTTTTTGTATATTTAATTGCGCTTTTTTCTGAAAGAATTTATTTAACTGTCTCTCGGTTGATTTTTTAACTGAAATTTGATATGGATAAACTAGACTAGATTAAGAACATGCTCAAAACATTTTATCAAAAAATTTCACCGGGCAAGGCAAAAACCAACCTCGACCAGACGGCGGTTTGCCGTCAGGCCGGCTGGACAGGATGATTACTCTCTCCCCCCCTCTCTCTATATATATATATATATGTATATGTATATATATAGGGAAAAGATCGGGTGAGAAGTGTTCCTTAAAACGAGAAGTGAGAAGTAATTTTTACCCTTGGATTTGCATTTCATCTTACAACGCTGTAAACTTATAGACTAAATATTGGAACTTATAACCAATAAATCATAACTTATAAAGGTCTCCATAATAATTACGAAAATGTCCGCGTCAATTTTTTTTCCAGGTTTCCGTATTTATTTTTTTTGCGGTGGCATTTTCGTAATTATTTTTGAGGGGTCTATAAGTTATAATTTATTGGTTAAAAGATCATGTGTTTAGTCTATAAGTTTAACTTCTCAGTTCTCAGCCTAGGAGCACTTCTCACCTGATCCGCTGCCTATATATATATACAAGTATATAATTACGGCATTCGCTTACCCATCTCCATCGTCAGATTGTTAAGGAGGCATTCGCTTCATTAATGGCATTGTTGTAAATATAACAAAATATGCACCTATTTATTAGTTAGAAAAACCTACTCCGTAAAAACACAAAGTATTCCCTAAGTATCTGAACTCTCTCTCCTCTAGAGTCGATGTCCTTCTTCTTCGCTGGTTACGAAAATTCTCTCACACATGCGGTAGATTCTTCAGCACTCGTGCTTTCGTTCCAAGCTTTCTTCCGATTGGAGGGCCGATACTGCAGGCTGGAATCTCATAAATCTTAATCAATCCGTGAACCGGAACAAGCAGTTGAAGGTAGGTTTCAAAATAAACTTCTTTAGTTTTAGTACTATTTTTTTTAGATTTTCTGTGGAAGAATTCATTTTAGTTTCAAGTTTATTTACCTTAAATCTGTCTAATGGAAATGATTAGTTTATGGTTCAGTTATAATGCGCCTTGCTAGTCTATCAAATTTTAAAAATTCATTTCCCATTCTGCATCTATCAAGTGTTTGATATTACGATAGTATATCTCAGAGCTAGCTATGAACCAGTTTTTTACCATGTAGCTTTCTGTTATACATCAAATTTAAGAGTTAATTATCAAAATAGGACTAAAACTCATTCATTTTGCACAAATAGGACCAAAAAATAAACTATGTTTCCATAGGACTAATTATGTTTGTCTTGGACAAATATACCCTTATACCTATTGGAATGTTTTAATTCATAATAAAATAATAAAAAATAATGAAAATTCGTAAAATATACCAAAAAATTAATAAAAATATTTTGAATAATAATAAATTTAAAAAAAAATATTTTAAAAAAAATAAAAATTAAAAAAAATTAAAAAAAAATAAAAAAAAATCAAAAAAATATTTTTTTTGTCACCGCCGCCTATACCGCCCCAGCACCACCACCTCTAGTCATTTGGGGAAAAAATGCCAAATTTATTATGAATTCCATATTTTTGGCATAATTCAGAATGATTTAAGATGGAAGAAAAAAAATGTTGGCATTCTCAAAGAGAAATATGCCATATTTTTGGCATTTTCCGAAAAAAATGGAAGTTTGTAGGAAATATGACATTTTTTTTAACGGTCGGAGGTGGTGGTGCAGGGAGGCGGTACCACCACCTCCTGTCACCGGGGTAAAAAAATGCCAAAAAAATTATGAATGCCATATTTTTGGCAAAAGTCAAAAGGATTCAAGTTGGCAGAATGAAAATGTTGGCATTCTCATAGAGAAATATGCCATTTTTGTGGAATTTAAAAACAAAGTGGCATTTTTTACACCGATCGGAGGTGGTGGTTCAGGGAGGTACTACAGGCGGTGGGAAAGGTATCCATATTTTTTATAATTTTTTTTATGGAGTTTTACTATTTTTTTATTAATTTTCAAAAAAAAAAAATTAAAATTTTTTTTTTTTTTCTTATTTTTTATTTTATAAAAATTTTATTAATTTTTTTATTATTTTTCTATGAATTATTGAAATTTTTTCGAATTTATTATGAATTAAACATTTAATTATGACTTTTAGCTATCTTTTACTAATATTTAAAGGAGGGGTAAGAATGGAAGAAAGAAATGAGTATGTTTCCAATAGGACCACTATGGTCCTATTTTGAAAAAAAAACTTAGCAAGTCCTATTTTGAGTTTTTGCCATAGTTTTAGTCCTATTTGAAGTAATTTCTACAAATTTAAAGTAAGTTATTTTTCCCTCTGCATCTTTGAATTGTTTGATATTATTTCTCAGTGAGCTTAGTTTACTCTGCAATTTTAAGATCCTAGAGTGTATGCATTTGATTAGGTAAAAAAAAGTAAAATACCCTTAAGTTGATAAGTATTATACCTTTGTTGAACTGATATTTTTTTATTATGATCTCTGTTCTAAAAATCGTTCTAGGCGTCCGACTAGTCCCCGCCTAGGCGCTAGGCGGTGGTCGGGCGCCCCGATTTTTGTCCAGGCGCTTCGATTAATTGGTTTGCCATCTAGGTGAATTAGTCGGCCGCCTATGGCGCCTAATTGCCCGCCCAGAGCGCCTAATCGGCCGTCTAGATTCGCCGAGCATTACTTTACTTTTCAATTTTAATTTTCTAAACAATATAAGTGCTTTACCTTTAGCCAAAGATATAAAGAAATGAAGTTGTAAATTGAGATAAAGACTATATATGTTTGTATATACACCTAAATTTTATTATTATTTATATAATTATATTTATAACATAATGAAGTTAAGTGTTTAGTTATCATATACGAAGTACTACGTATGATTAAATGTGATAATTCTATCATGTTTGTTAATGTATGTGTATATATGTATTTTATTCACACAAGAATACAATATTACATATCATATTTATGCAAAATATGGACCGATTAATCGAGTCAAGGGGGCGATTTATTTCGTTAGTATAGGGGGTGAAAAAAAAAATCGCTAGTGCACCGGGGCGATTTTTTTCGCTTGTGTAGCGGGGCGAATTTTTTCGCTAGCATAAGGCTCTGCGGCTAATTTTCATTCAAAAAAATTCATTGGTACATACATGATGATATTTAAATCTATTACATTCTAAGTTTAAACAATGGAAAAATAATATTAATTTTATAATTATAAATGCTCTAAAAAAAAGTACTGATACATTAAAGCCTAAGAAATGAAAATTCAAATGAAAATTATTTGAAGGTCTAGAGTTTAAAAGGTACACATCAACCAAGCTAAGACTTTTTTTAACCATATGATCTTATTAGAATAAAGAATTGGTTTTTGAATTGCAATTTTTGTCTACCAAGGATGGTGTTCGTGAGTCACGAGAAGATTTCTTAATATTACAATAGTATGTATGAGATTATTATTTTGAGAATAATATTATACATAGTATTGCTATTCACATATATGGTGCATATTGTATTTGTATTAATGCTAATTAAAATAAGTTAAAGTTTATTAATCTATGCAATAAATTGTTTTTAGAAAGTAACAAGCAAATGAATTGTACTGTAATTTAATGTCAACAAACATTTATATTTTAGATTCACTTCACATGATCTAAAAATTATTTAACTAGTGTGTCTGGTATTTAATATTGTCTGATATTTTACATAATCGAGTACTAATTATCTAATAAAGACAATTAAAAATTACAAAGCTAGAAAATTTTATATAATAGGTATCCTATGTCTTAAACAATGAGTAATGCTATTGTTTATTCATTTAGGTTATGTAAATTATTTTAGATGTTACTTTTTTTAAAAAAAATCTCCAATTATGTATTACATTAGGTAATGCTATATATTAATTTGATAACTAAAAATTAAGGGGGGCGAAAACATATATATCTAATTAAAGTATGAAAATATTACATATATAGTAAAAAAATTGAAAGTCCAAGGGGGGCGGTCCCCCCCTTGGACTATTACATATATATTACATATATAGTAAAATAATTGTGTTTGGTCCATTAATCACACTCTCAAAACAAGTTATCTAAGTCTCTTTGACTTTCTTTTCCTACAATTCAGGTCTGGAACAAGTTCCATGTACATAGTGATATGGATACTACAATTTGGAGCTATTTTTATTTTTGAACAAGTCCATATTGTTCATGGATTTTTACTTTGTTAAGTATTTAATGTATTACTCAACTGCTCAGGAGTTTGAACAAAGCTATGAAGATATGATGCATTTTCAGATACCACAATAATGCATTTTATGTGAGTTACGTGAGCCAATTTGCCCATTAAATTACAAGTTATCCATTTTTTGTTATAAGTTATACATTTTATGCTAAAAGTTATATGAGAATTCTTATATTCTGCTCTTACACTTTTTTATCACATGAAAATGAAGAGTTTGGATTAGATAAATCAAAGAAAAATAGAATGAGATAGTAGTTAATGCTAGTATGTAGCCTTTCTATTCTAAAAAGTTATTCTTGTATCAAGGGGTATTGGATATTTTGACTTGTTTTTATTTCTAATATATTTTGGTTTTTTTGCTACTTCAAATTTGTCTTGATTATTTGGTCTATAAGTGGCTCTAAGTTGCTGACATTGATGCTTTAATTTTAACTCACCTTTCATACGATATTCATATCAAGGCTATTAGCTCAATTGGTAGAGCAATGTGCATATTTGCATGAAGGTGCGGGTTCGAATCCCGCATAGCCTAACTTTGCAGATTATTACATGTTCAATCAATGCTGGTGACTTGCTATTACCTACTGACATATCAGTGGAAACGACCAAAGCTCATGGCAGCAGATTACGATTTTGGTATGTATTTATACCTAATTAGGTATGTATTTATACCTAATTTTTTGGAAAGTGACATCCTATAACCGTTTACATTTTAATAGAGTTACTCTAAATGACAACATTAGCCTTAGATAACCTCCGTTAGTGGATTTTTTTTAGAGATGGCTATCATCTCCTAAGCTTGTCCACACCAAACTTAGGTGCACATGATATCATTCATCCGTTCATTAATTAAGATGTGTGATTGAGATGTGTTCTCACTCCTCACAATAAGGAGTGTTCTCATTAGAACCACTCCCTATATATATATAGAGTAATCTTCTGGTCAGGAAATTCCTGACCGGAGCGCCGTCCGGCATCCTCCTTTTGGGGGCCTTCCCGGTGGTATTTTTTGCTCAACTTTTTTGTGTATGTTCCTCATCAAGTCTAGCTCATCCATACCAAATTTCAGGAAAAATTCAATCTGGAAGGTCGTCAAATGATTTTTGCAAGTTAACTGGTCCGGAATATGTATTTTCCGGACCAGTTAACTTGCAAAAATCATTTGACGACCTTCCCGATTGAATTTTTTGCTGAAATTTGATGAAATTTTTTGGGCATGTTCTACATCAAGTCTAGTTTATCCATACCAAATTTCAACTGAACATTCGATCGGGAAGGCATTCAAATAATTTTTTGAAGTTGACTGGGTTTTTATATGTATACTTTGACGCAGTCAACTTCCAAAAATTATTTGAAAGCCTTCCCGATCGAATTTTGAGCTGAAATTTGGTATGGATAACCTAGACTTCATGAAGAACATGCTCAAAAAATTTCATCAACAAATTCCATCGGGAAGTGCCCGAAACGCCCTCGGCCGGACGGCGGTTCCTGTCAGGCCGGCTGGACAAGAACGGGACTCTCTCTCTCTCTCTCTATATATATATATATATATATATATATATATATATATATGGGGGAAAGATCAAGTACAAAGTGTGCTTATTGTGCAAATATTTGTACGATACACCTTGACGTTATTTGCATTGCATATTGAGGTTCAAAGTATTGCATATTATATAGTCATAAAATAGCGGTTGCACATTAACGTTCAATGAGTTGCACCCTAGAAAAGTTAGGTTTTATTACAAAAATGCCACCATGCCTTTATATCCTTTAGATCAACTCATCGGATGGCCAAGATAAGTTTGTACTTTGTAAATTAAGCATGGTTTGTATTTGATCTCTATTTTTTATATATATATATATATATAGGGGTTGGTTCAAGTAAAAAGTAGTCTTCCCATGAAAAGTGAGAACAAATCTTGGCCTTTGATCACTTGACAATGGATGGATTAGATGATGAACTTTTATACTATAAAGTGGATAGTTACTGATTAAAAGTGCAGTCATTCGTGTTAAAAAGCTTGTCAAAATTTTCTAACTTCTGCACTTTTTATTTTGTACTGTATTGCACTTTTGTGCTCTATGTTTGCACTTTTTGACTATTCTGATACACATTTGTCACAATATTAAATTAGTTCTTCATAATTACCAAAATGCCACCGCATTTTTCACTTAAAATTTGATCTCTTCCATCCATTTTTTCACATCAATGGCCAAGATTAGTTCTTATTTTTCACCTAGGAAGCACTTTTTATTTGATCCATATATATATATATATATAGAATTAGGTTCAAGTGAGAAAATGATCTTAGGAGAGAAATGTGAATGAATTTGGACCGTTAGATTGTAATCTGTGAAATTGAATGTGCATTTAGTGAACTGAAATGTGCATTAGGTTAAATCGAAATATGCAGCATAAAAGGTAAGGTGAAATGTGCACTGGGTGAAACTGAAATGTGCAAAATAAAACTATGATGTGGTGGCATTTTTTTGAGCTTTTTATTCTGCACATTTTAATTTCACGTAATGCACGTTTGATTTTACTTTTCATTATGCACATTTCAAATTCACTTAATGCACATTTCAGTTTTACCAAATGCACAGCTCAATTTCACATCATACAATCCAACGTTCCAAATTCATTCTCATTTCTTTCCTAGACTTGCAAAGATATCTTTTTGCGCATTTAAAGGCATAAAGGCATCCGATGAGTTGATCTAAAGGATATAAAGGCATGGTGGATATAAATGCACAGTTATATGTATATTTTTGCGCCAAAATATACATATAAAAATGAAGTCAACTTCAAAAAATGATTTGAATGTCTTCCCGGTCGAATTTTGAGCTGAAATTTGGTATGGACAAACTAGACTTGATGAAGAACATGCTCAAAAAGTGTCATCAAAAAATTCCACCGGGAACCACCCCAAACGGCGGAGTTCGGACGGCGGCTGGACCGGGGAGGGCTGGACCTGATCTTTTGTGTGTGTGTGTGTGTATAAGTTACCTAAGTTATATACACTAGGTATTAATGAATGATATAGCACCCACAAAAATGTGAACATTTTGTATTTATTATGATATACTCTAGGTTCTTGTTTGGAATGTTTTCAGTCTCAAATCAAACCAGATTGGACCGAGCTTTAACAGATCAGATCATATTGAACCAAACATTCATAGTTATAAAATACTATACTAGACATTTAGCCGAACAGACTTAAATTATGAGACAAGACCATCAAATTTTAAAAATATTGTTACTATGCATTACATTGATCTAACTTATTACTACGTATTTCTTTATTAATATACATAGTAAGTCATTAATGTATAAATTGTTCATTATCAATATACTCTCCGTCCCCTTTTAAATGTCCCGTTTTATCATATTGGGATGTCCCTATTTAATTGCCTCATACCTTATTTGGTAAACTTTGTGTGGCTCAAAATCATTCTTACTTTATTCTTACTTTATCAATTAATATCAACCACACAAACTCACTTTTCTTAAAACTCGTGCCACCATCTCCCGTCCCATTTAAAAGGGGACGGAGGGAGTACATAGTAAGTGATTAATGTATAAATTGTATAATTAAGGTACGGTAATTTGAGAGTGGAGTAGAGTTTGCAAAATTACATTTTTCGTTTTTATACTAATGTAGGTTTAAATCACTAGATCCTCAAGAGCTATAAATGTATTACAACTACTCGCCCTATTAAGATGAGTAACCATATTACATAGTACGAAGGCTTGCTAGGATTTAATCGATTGTTGGGAGTTTAATTTACTACGGAGTATATATCATATTAATATTAATACTTGAAGTTTCATTCGAAGTACAGTTGATTAGTTACAATTGGTTGATTTGTATTCTTATATATACGCAAAGGTATGTGATACTTAAGGATAACATCCGTTGACTGCTCAGATTATAACTTAAATTTTAATAACGTCAATCAGTTGACAAAAATATGATCATTGAAAGAGCAATAACTGCATTTGCATACGATTCCCAACTTGCATAATAAATAGTTGCAATCTCATAGCTCGATGAATTTGATACGTATCCATGCCATAAACCTTTTTTAGCCGGCTGAGATACTGATTCCATTTGTTCTTTTTAGTTTACTTTATCATCGTCTTCTCTTCTTTTCATGCTTATATATATGGAGTGTCACGTTTTTCAGTTATGACACCTGTAAATACAAATGCATTAAAATCGACGGAGTACTATATAAACTGTTGACCTTTTGGAATTATTTGGTTATACAGCCTATTGGCATCATATTTTTAAAATCACAGTGTACCGTAATTAGTCC